GAAACTTTCTGAGCGTTACCCTGGGCCGTGTTTGAGTAACCGCAAGAGAAGAAAGCATTCACTTTATCATTCACGTACGAACGCGTGGAATTTGACATAACTCTGCAACCAGAGCAGTTGGAGTGCTGAAACTTTCTGAACGTTACCCAGGGCCGCGTTTGAATAACAGCAAGCGAAGAAAGCATTCACTTCATCATTCACGTACGAACACGTGAAATTTGACGTAACTCTGCAACCAGAGCAGTTGGAGTGCTGAAACTTTCTGAACGTTACCCAGGGCCGCGTTTGAGTAACCGCAAGTAAAGCATTCACGTTGCCACTCACGTACGAACACGTGAAATTTGACGTAACTCTGCAACCAGAGCAGTTGGAGTGCTGAAACTTTCTAAGCGTTACCCAGGGCCGCGTTTGAATAACCGCAAGCGAAGAAAGCATTCACTTCATCATTCACGTACGAACACGTGAAATTTGACGTAACTCTGCAACCACAGCAGCTGGAGTGCTGGAACTTTCTGAGCGTTACCCAGGGCCGTGTTTGAGTAACCGCAAGAGAAGAAAGCATTCACTTCATCATTCACGTACGAACACGTGAAATTTGACGTAACTCTGCAACCACAGCAGCTGGAGTGCTGAAACTTTCTGAGCGTTACCCTGGGCCGTGTTTGAGTAACCGCAAGAGAAGAAAGCATTCACTTTACCATTCACGTACGAACGCGTGGAATTTGACGTAACTCTGCAACCAGAGCAGTTGGAGTGCTGAAACTTTCTGGACGTTACCCAGGGCCGCGTTTGATTAACCGCAAGCGAAGAAGGCATTCGCTTTATCATTCACTTACGAACACGTGAAGTTTGCCGTAACTCTGCAACCACAGCAGCTGGAGTGCTGGAACTTTCTGAGCTCTACGCAAAACCAAGTTTGACCAACCGCGGATGAAAAAAGCATTCACGTTGCCACTCACGTACAAACACGTGTTATTTGACGTAACTCTGCAACCAGAGTAGCTAGGGCGCTGAAACTTTTTGAGCGCTACTCAGGGCCGTGTTTGAGTAATCGCGGGTGAAGAAAGCACTCACGTTGCCACTCACGTACGAACACGTGGAATTTGACGTAACTCTGCAGCTGGAGTACCCTGAGCGCTGTATTTTTTGGGCATGGATTGGGAGTCATTGTAATAATTTCTGACAGTCATGGTGACCAGTCACAATTCTTTT